ACGGAGGGCCTGCACCTGGGCTAGGTGTTAAGTCAGAGAAGCCCTATTCAGAGGTTGGCCTGCAGTTCCCTGACCTGGTAACACGGGGGCATTGGCTGCTGTCACCTGCCAGCTCCCACCCCCACCCAACACTGACAGCACAAGCATCACTAATTTTTGCAGCTGCCGTGAGAAATGGCACTGTCGGCAAAATGACATCTTTCTAATCTGCTGCAAGACAGATGGGTCCCCGAGCTCCCGCAGCCTCCCGAGAGCCTGCCCAGGCCAGCCTTGTTGAGAGGGTGGGCAGACACAAAGCCCAGGACCTAGGGGCAGGTGGGATGGAGAAGGGACCTCAGGGCCCAGAGTCAAAGACATCCCTAGAGGGGTTTACCACAGGCTGTTTTCTAAGTGTTTAGCTGTACGTGTGCTTTTTAAAATAGTCCAAAGAATATTATATCCTCTGTTCCTTTCTGTCCAAAGTTGGGTCCTCAATTCAACTTTCTTCTCTGTTCTTTTTTGAAACACGGTCTTGCTCTATCGCCCAGACTGGAGTGCAGTGGTACAATCACAGCTCCCTGCAGCCTCTACCACCTGGGCTCAAATGATCCTCCCACCTCAGCCTCCCAAGTATCTGAGAGGACAGGCGCCCACCACCGTGCCCGGCTTATTGTATTTTTAGTAGAGATGGGGTCTCGCCATGTTGTTCAGGTTCAGACTGGCCTTGAACTCCTGGCCCCAAGTGATCTGCCCACCTCAGCCCCCCAAAGTGCTTGGATTGCAGGCATGAGCCACCATGCCTAACCTCAATTTTCACTTTAAATGAAAACTTGGAAATTGCTCAGGGTTACAAGGATGAGCCGTTGGACGCTGGTTCTGAGGTGGTGCTCGCTTCCCGTCTCCCTCTGCTCTGCGGAATAGTGTGCTTCTGCCTGAGTCATTGGACCTGAAGGCTCTTCTCACCCCCACCCCCTCCATGGCTCCCACCCTCCCTCCCAGCCCCTGCACCGGCCTCAGTCACGTCCCCTCCATGCCTCACACTGGCCTCGGGCTGCCAGGTCAAGGTAGAACTCCCCTCACACCCTCCTGTGTCCAGGGGTGGAGGTGAATTGGGGTCTGGATGCCAAGAATGGAGGAAGGACAAATGCCAGCCCCAGAGACTCTAGCCTCCTCAAAGACCAACGGGAGATGGCACCTGTCCGCCCAGCAGCAGTCAGGCCAGAGCGGGTGGGGCCGGGGTGGGTGGGCACAGGCCTGGGCTTGAAGATCCAGGCAATGCTGCCCCCTCCTGGCTAATGCGTGGCTGCTCCTCTGACAGGCACTGCCAGGCTAAGCTGTTGAGGTTGGGGACACAGCAAGTGACTGTCCAAGAACAGCATGTGACAAGCAGACCCTTCCCGGCAGTCGGCGCGGCTGAGAGCTGCCTCCGCTGCCCATCCTGTGCAGGCTTCTCACTGCCCACAGCATCTTTCAGCCCTCACAGCTTCAGGGCAAAGCCTGAGGCCCCTCCCAGCTGCCCATGATGCAGCCCCTCCCCTGCACCCCAGGCCCCTGCCACTCTGCATCTCCCCAGTTCCCTGTCCCTGGCCTTTCCAGGGCACCTGCATGCTTTGCTCTCACCTTGACCTCCACCTTCGCCCTCCCCAGCACACTGTCTCCTCTTGTCCTCCTTGGTCCCTCCCTGAGGAAACCCCTCTCCCCCACTTTCAGCCAGAGAAACCCCACTCCTCTGCCCACACCCCCACCTGCCCTGCTCCTGTCCCGGGGACTGCCCACTGTCATTAACTCAGACTGGGAATTTGATCTGAACCCGGTGAGCCACGTCCACATCCAGAACCAGATGCCTGCTGGCTTTAGACAGGGGGCCTGTCACCACCCAGGACACCATTAAGGAAACTAGGGCCCAGAAAGGATCAGGGACTTGACCAAAGTCTCCTGTCTCATCAAAGTAGCAGAGAGAGAATGAGGACATGAGACCCAGGGCTCTCCTTGGATCACAGTCTCTGACTGAATAGAAACCAAGCCGTGCTCAATGCCTTCCAGCCAGCAGGCACAGCGAGGGCTCCTAGCAGCAGGCAGGACAGGCGTGCAGGTGTCCAGAGGCCCCCGAGGGATCGAAGGCCTCACAGCAGAGGACGGGGGCCCACCCCCTCCCCAGCAGCAGCAGACCCTCTGTGTGCCCCGCATGCCCATGGGGCAACCGAGCCTCTGATTTCTGGGAAGGGAGGCCTGGGCCAGGCTGAGGGTGACCCAGCCTTGGTGGCCTCGGGCCAGGGCCAGTGCTGCCTCCTCAGCTCCATCCACGTGAGCTTTTCCTGCAGGAGGCTGTGAGCCCTAGTGGTCTGCCAGTGCTGACGGGGCTGGGTCTGGG